TACCTGCTGCCAGATGTACATCTGATTGAAAGAGAGTCGTCTACGGATCAGAATTTATGAACATGTTCCGAAACAACTTGGTCTTTGCGGAGAGTAACTGCAATCCAGTGCCATTGCATGGCATTTGTTAGACTCTGGTAGCCACGTAAACTCAGCCAAAGCGTTTCGAGTCATTACGATAGCTGAAAGTTTAAAGACTTAGAGATTTTTGAAAGTGATAATTTTTCATCGCTTGTAACCGCAAATATGTTCAAAAACATGGGTGACACAGCTTCTGTTGCCTTGGTAGTTCTGATGTCACTCTACCATAGTGTGTGAATTCACTTTCCTTCCCTCCCTGTACACCACATTCACTACATTGTTTGAAGCAGTACATTTTCATATCAACGTTTGTCATTCAACTTGAACTTAACCCCGAACCAAGTCCAAATCACACAACGGACAATTTTATGACTCAGTTCAACCTCTACGTTTCTCTTTTGGCCTGATAATATGAATTTGCGTTTACAATTCAATGCAAGCACGCAAAATTGATGACCAACATCAATTTTTCCCACGTCTTCTGGTGTGGAGTAAATACACAAAGGAAAGAGATGTTTCCCATTAATCAACAGAGCATAATGCCAGTGGGAATTGATTCTCACTCGTGCACTGTTGGTGTGCGTTAAATAGCAGGTTTACGAGCACAGTAAAAATCACAGAAGATGCGAATTAATCTTTTCTAGTCCCAATTTCACAAATGGATCTCTTTAAGTATTTGTAAACTAGAGAACCAACCGATTCCCAATGTCCTCTGGAATCCGTTTTTCCTGTTACAGTGACCTAAGGAGTTTCACCAACTCCAAAACTTAGATTAAGATTTCATCCCTAAAGTAGAAAAAAACCCATACGGAGACACCATCACGATGAGGCTGCACCTTGACGCGTCGTGCTGGCTTGTGCACCTCTCCGACCCAATGAGCTACACAGGATGGCTTTTGTCAAGCCGAAGATATAATCATGCCTGGAAGGTCGAAGGTTAGAGGTCAGATGAAGTCCAGTCTCCTGGTCTTTCAAGTTGGAGGTTCAACTGGAATTTTCGTTTCAGTCGGTAAAAAGCAGTGAAGCAGTAATTTACCCAAGTAAATAGACCTCCACTTTGCTTCACCCGCTACCTTGCGGCTAGGTTCTTGTCATAACTTAAAGGCTTTGGTTGAGAACCCTAATCGTTCTCCTGCTTAGTGGTTGGACTCCCTTGCAGTGCCCGTCCATGTAGCTCCAATGAACACACAAACAAAAAATAATTTCATATTGCATCGGTTCCTCGCACAGGATAATCAGGACCGCGCTGCCCATTGCATCGGGTGGGGTGGGTAGTGATAAGTGGACTACTGCTCAGATATCACAACCCTTGTTTAACTCTTTGTCTTCCGTTCCCAACCCTCTCTCCTTACCCCTTATTGAAACCCCGTAACATTCCCTCAGACAACTGGTACGTCACTGGCTTGAGGTCATT